CCCCTCCCTGGAGGGGAAAGGTGACCCCTGGCCCAGGGAAGGGTGGGCTGGTGATGGGGATGAGCAGTGAAGACAAAAAAAATGAGGGCTTAAAATAGCAGCAGCCTTGCCAACCTCAGCCATATGAATGTCATGCGAGCCAGGTGCCCAGACCCACGAGTCTCTTCGTTTTATCCAAGCCTGAGCTAAACAGCAAAACCCCCTGGGTTGGTTTTTATCTGCCTGGCAGCTCAGTGGTTGCAAGTTTTATGTTTTGAAGCTCCCTTCCTCCAAGCTGTGGCTTGGAAATCTCCTGATGGGCAGGGAGGCTCCTCTGAAGCACGTCACACAGCAGCTCCCCTCCCTTTGGGTGCCCAAGGTGCAGCCCTGGGTGCTTTTTTTGGCCACCAAGGCACCTGCCTCTCTCCCACCAGCCTCCACTAGCCCTTGGCACCTCAGAGCATCGTGGCCCCGTGCCCTGCACGAGGTTGCCCGTGGGTGCAGGGGTGGCATTGCCTGGGCACGTGGGGAGCTGGCAGGCACCCACGTCCTGCCCCGTGGGGAGAGCTGTGCTCCAAACTGGGTCAGCTCCCTGCTCTCCTGGGGGTGCCCAGCAAAAAGGGCAGAGAGAGAAGGTGCCCAGCATCACTCCCAGGGGAGCAAGACATCAGCCTGGGTCCTGCAAGCCTGGCTTGAGGGAGGTGATGGAGCCTGGGATGTGCAAACTGGGGTTTTCCCCTCCTGGACACACCACTGGCTTTGGCCTGGTGACTTTTTGCCATGCTCCCTTCTAAACACTGCTCTACTCCACAAAAAAAATAGTGAGATTTTGTGGTGGTTTTGGTTTTTGGTGGTTTTTTAATTTATTTTTTTGCTGTCCAAATCCAAATTTTGCAGACTGGGCCATCTGTCAATTCCCTCCTACGTTGTTCTGTTCATATTAAATTGTAATGAAGGCCAGACTGAAGAAGGAATTAGGTCAGACAGGAGGTTTAGTCTCTGTTTTTTGGGGAGATGTTTGTTGCCCGAGAGAGGCACCGTGGTTTGGTTGGCTCGGAGCAAGTCTGGCTGCAAGGGATGCCTGAGCTGTCCTCTGAGGATTGACAACTGGGCCTTGCAGCACATTGTGGCCTCTTGGCCCCCGGCTCCCCAGCAGCTGGACAGAAATCACCAATCCAGCTGATTCCACAGCAAATCCTCAACAAAATCCTTCCGTGGTGTCTGCTGGGAGGGTGGTTCTACTGCAGACCTGCCCCTGGGCTCTGCACCCTCTCCAGTGGGGTGTCCCAGCTGGCTGGGGGCTGCCAAAAGGTGTTTTGGGGGTCCCTGGTCGTGGGTGCAGGGATGGCACAGGAGTCCCAAGGCAGCAGGAGCAGCAGCTCGTGGCTGGGC